AAAACATGGAACCAATTGATGCGATACATCGCATGCCGTTCTGACACAAAATATGGCGTCCATGCGTCCATCGAATCACCTTAAGGTTATACGCAAAGAAATGCTTGTCTCCCTCTTTCTATATTTTGTGTTAATTCATTTCCTTTTAGTTACTTTGAAAAAAGAAGATTTGTTGTTTGACAAATTGTATTTGAATAAGAAAGCATAACATTATCTTCAATCGTGACCGTTGACGGTTAGGTATTAACTATACATACAACTAGAATGACCTAAAGGAGGAGGAGGGGGGGTTTATGATGAAAGGAAAGGAGTACATATTTAAATGGATAATGTAACTTACCTTCGTGGTAAATCTACCAAAAAGGTGAAGCTGTTTCATCTTGGACCTTAACATGGCCGCATCATGGAGCGGCCAAGTCGAGCCTCACCGCGTAGTAGCCGCCGGTGGTTCGGACCGCATAGCGCTCCGGGGGCGGACCCCCTAGTGAATTCATAAGCATTTTTATCATGGAAATTTTATGCTCTTTCACTCTGGTGAGAACACTTTTTTGCCTCAGACTCGCCGTTTTTAAGATAATTACAGATTTTGTTGAAAAAACGTGATTTTTCGCAAGATTTGATTTTCCTAGCCGCAGGAAACTACCGTCATATCTCACGAACCAGAAGTCGCAATTTAATAAATGTATAAGGTTTCTAATAGGAAATTTTATGATCTTTTTTAAAGGTTCTTTGGCATTTGTCCGTAGGATTGATATTTTTCAAGATATAAGCTAAAAACCGGACGCCGGCGGCGTATTTTGGCCCCCCGCCCCTCCTTTTTTCAAGATGGCGACCTTAGCGGACAGCCGATTTTGGTAAACTTTTGATATGTTGTTCTGGTAGCCTAATGCAACATGTTTCCGCAAGAAAAACCTTCTATATATGGATTTTTCCAGATGACCCTTATTTAGAGCTAAATTGACTGGACTAGAGGGGATTCAGCGTAGCATGGAACATCCTCTTCATTACAGCCTGAACTTTCAGATTTTCTTGAGCTTGGGAGTTGATTTCAGGGAAAAAAAGTGGCACCATCAAGTTTCTCGCGAAATTTCACCTACTAAAACCTACTTGAATCGCAAATCTCTGACATCAGCGGGAGGACAATTTTCCAATATGAGCTGTTTCTGGAGTATGTTGTTATGAGAGCTAAAATCATAAACTCTAAAGCGGTATGTATAAAATTTTCTTTGCTTCAATAGTTCTCGATAAAAAAAAATCGGAAAAGTTGCTTCTTGGCTGACCTTTAAATTGTTAAAAATTTAGGTAGAATTTTCGCAGTAATTACCTGATGCAACTGTGAGCACAGTTTTGCATAGCGACAACCATAGAGAGAGATTTTCAGCTGCCATTATTTGTAGCATACTTGTCAGTGTATCATGAATATCTTTTATCAACTGAGCATCTGTTTCCAAATCTAGCATACCAAATAAAATTCCTGGAAGCCCAGAATCTGGCATTGAAAAATCTGAAACATTAATTTGAGAACAAATAACTTGAGACAAGAGAGAAAAGTGAGATAAGGACAGTGACCAAAAAAAGGAGAATCTTAATTGAGTCGACTCAAGCGTAAACGTCCCTTGTCCAATACAAGGTTTCATAATTACAGTGGTTTCTTTCGCCCCTCAACACTGATAAATAAGATCGATCTCTTTTTTAAATGTTTAATTATACTTAGGGGATTATTTATAAAATTGTTCTACATTTCTAGTGTCTTAAGCCATCTTGTGTCTGTAAAAGACAACAAAATTGTCCATTCAAAGTCTGAAACACTGTGTTGGACATCTGACGCTTTCACATAAGCCGATTCAAATACAATAAAAGCAGTGCCCCCCCCCCTTTTAAAGAGAATAGATCAAGTAAGTCGGCAGGTCTTTGGTCTTGTTCGCCTCTGCGTCTTTTCTGCTGCTGTGTTTTTTTTCGCCCATTCCAAAGGTCAAACTAGTATTTAAGGATGACTAGACACATTTTCAGCATTTTTTTTTTTAGGTATCAATGAAATTGTGTTGGTGCATATTTTTTTTTTATTTCTAGGTCTTTCTATCTTTAATTTTGGCTCTTTATGTATTCCCACCTTCCTTTCTGAAATTCGAGGTTCCCTTCGTCTTCGATGAAAGCCTTGTGAAGGTCCTAGCAACGTTTCACGATTGCCGCTCAGAAATTCTTATTTTTGACAGCGTGTATAATTGAAAATTCGGTATTCGTGACAGCGCGAATATTTGAAAAAAAAAAATTAACTATTCGTGACTGCGCAAATAATCGCAATTTGAGAATAGTGCATGAGTCGGATAAAGGGAATATTCGCAAAGCTCTAATTCACTCACAAGGGGAACTTCCCAAGCTGCCGCCTCTGATGGGGCTGAGAAAATTCGTACAAACTAATTGGATAAATCCATTGGGACTGTGTTTTTTAATTGTTTCCGGCGCATTACTGGGTGTCTGGCGTGCATAGTCGATGCGTGCTCAAAACCCGACTTTTCTGAGTTTTTATGGGGTGTTCTCGGGGCGCATTGGAAAAAATAAGAAAACACCGTCCTGACTGATTTATCTAAAGAGTTCGTACGGATTATTTCAGCCCGATCGGAGGCGGCAGCTTGGGAAGTTCTCCTTGATGGTGAAAGGGCAGAGAAAAATAGCGATTAAATGCGTTTTAAAAAAGTTATGAACACTTAAACGGATTTTTGGGGCACATCCTGGGGAGAGTAGGAATTCACTCACACCAAAATTATTATTCAGGATTATTTACATCGCTTTATACTGAGCAGCAGTTTCATCATTCATTTCTTCAGGAAAATGTTGGACTTGGACTGTTTCAAGATTTCAAGTATTCAGAAGCATTTGTAAGGCTCAAATCTGTTCTAATTTATATTTTGTTTTGATGAGCATTTATGTTTTTCAATTACTCCATTGCTTTTTTATTGAACTCTACACACATAGAACTCATACTTACTTCTCCCTCTCTCAGGTTAAATAATTTGATTGTTTTTTTTCTCTTTTTTTCTTCTTTCTTCCTTTCTTCTCTTCTTGTAAGGGAAGATTGGAAAGCTTCAGATTTGTTCTTAGGAGTAAGTTTTGGTTTGTTTTTGTTCCAGTTACATGGCGTTAATGGACTCAGACCAGCAGGGCGATTACTGAAATGATATCGACTCTATGTCGCCGCTTTGTCGTGACTGAGAGCCACTCAGTCGATGGCGCGACACGACAAAGCGGCGACATAGAGTCGATATCATTTCAATAATCACCATGCAGATCCTTCACCCATTTAATTCTGAAATCTTTTTAGGGGATTTTAAATAGTTTAGCAGGTTCATTTTTGGAATGGGAAGATAATAAATACTGACCTTCTCCATTAAAATAACTTTTTTCTGCAAAAAATGCTAAGGCTTGGTCGCAGATTTGTTTGGCCTCTCGCTGTGCCAATTGTCGTAGACAGGCTACAGCTGCTTTCCGCAACAATAAATGCTTACTGAACAACGTTACCTGAAAATTGAAGATAAAACACTTTTCATAGGCTAAATCAGGAAAGCTTGGAGTTCACATAAGGCGAAAGCTGTTAGTACTGGATCAGGAATTGAGATTGGTAGGAAAGCAGGAAGTTCAAAAACGCCAACCATTTGCCATGATCAAAATTTTTTCTCTTGGCACATTTGCAATTTGTCTCTCACTACAAAAGCGATGTTACAGCAAAACGCTCGATTTTCCAATGAAATATGTAGCCTGGCAAAAAAAAAAAAAAAAAGTCATCGCTTTAGAAAATTTATATGAGTTTGGGTTGGTAGCCGAGTGCTAGAAATAATGCAAAAAATGTTTTCAAAAAACACTTACATTTTATTAATAACTTTATTTATAACTTTTTTTAACCTAACAATGTTCAATGATTTTGATTTTTTTTTTTTTTTTTTTTTTTTTTTTTAGAAAATTTCCTTACACCCGAAGATTTGCCTTACATTTGCAGCGATCCTACGGTCACCATATTAGGCATTTTCTGCATCCCAAGCGATTGGATGAGAAATAAAATGTTCTTAACACAAAGGAAAATTTGATAGGGTCACTTACACATAATGTTGGTACTAAGGACGATAAATTGACATGTCTTGGGGCAAACAAATGCAACTGCTGTAAACAGGAGATGGCTTCCGCTTGAACCAAGGGATGATAGTGACCTTGCATGATTTCACATGCACATAGGAAAGATGTCCGAGCTAGGCAAACTGAACTCACACTTCCTAGAATGAAAGTAAACGCAAGTTTATGAATTTAAGGCCAGGCTCAGGGTGTCATCTAAAGTTCCGTGGGGTGATGCAAGTGCTTTTAACGCACTCTTTCCAGGCCATTAAAGAAATTAAGTGCCCTTTTAGAACAATGTTTAATTTTTATCAAGAACTTCTTGGTATCACACTCTTAAATATTGGTGAATTACGTTTCTGTCATGCTAAGGAAGAACGGTCTGTCAACTTTTGTACGCTGCCAAATGTCCTTTGATAAAATACAAACTTCAGGAAAACTTGCAAAAAGTTTCCACACGATTTTTCAGAGAGTTCTCTCCTTAATGTGATCCAAAATATCTAATAAATAAAAATTTCAAGGTGAAAAATATTCATATTTTTTCTCAAAAATTAATATTTAAAGTGGAGAACTTTGGGAATGTGCGAAAGTTCATGACGCATTGTAGTGCTACTGCAAACTATGTTATTGTCTAATTGACATTTGGACATTAATAGCTTAAAATTAGGAATGTTTGAATGTTAAATTTATTTAAATAAAGAGAAAGAAATCAACAAAAACTTTTGGATCATGATTTTCTACACATTTTCAATGCTTCAAAGGTACTACTCCAAAATTACAGTTTAATTAAAATAAATCTTATCATCATTTATGATTAAAATTTAAATACATTAACTATATCAAATAGCCCTCCTTGCTCAACTGGTAAGTACTCCTTCATTGATGAGCATATGATCTAGTCAAGGTCAAGGTTGACATCATGCTTCAGCTAACTGAGTTCTTGTGACAAACCTTGTAATTCTGGTCCAACAGTTGTAATCAGGGCTGAGATCACATTCCCCATACTCTGATGCACATCAACGTGTGATTGAGGAACAGTCAACAGAAGTCTCAAAACCAAGGATAGAGATGGTTCAACATAGCCTCGGAACATTGGACCACCTGACTCAGCCATAAGTTTTAAAGCATGAAGAGACCAAACCTGTAGGGCAAAATTTTCAATGTACATATATTTAAAAAAATACAAGGAGTAAAAGCTGAGCGTAAAGTAGAAGTCTGATAATTGTGAAGTTTCATGTAAATGTTTCTACCAGTGCCATAGGTTTACTAGCAGGTTATAGGTTTACTTCTCATCCAGCTAGACGTTTCAATGAGGATAAACAATTCTACAAAATGTTTTTACCAAAAACTTAAATGTGCATGCAATACGATTAAAAGATTAAAGGCCTAATTAAAGGGACTTTTTTATTTTTTATTTTAATACAGGATCAGACAGTTTTTGAACCCTTGTGATGGATGAAAATTGAAGATTTCATAGAAAATAAAGGAGTGATTAAAGGAAAAGAACCCCACACAGAGCATGGGGTCAGCGGCTCTCTTTATAAGTCAATGAAACTTTAATAGATTGATATAAAGTTAATAATGGGCCTGTTGCAAACTTTTGCTAGAGCAAAAATAAGAGTTGTTTCTTCTAGATAATGCCTCAAAAATCACGATGAGCGCATCGGCAAAGTCTGAAATGCACTCATAACTTCACAGTCTGCGTAAGAAATTTGCGGTTTTTTGAGCTTCCCGCTTCAAAAGCGATACTACGGCACAGGTGAACATTTTGTAAGAATGGTCGTTCCATCGTCGGCAATACTCATCATGGCCGACGCCAATCCGCCAAAACACGTGTGATGGGACGAGATAATACCTGAACTAGATTAGACCAGATAACAATCGGCGTGTTTTAACGTTCATGTATTCCACGCCCGAATTGATTGACCTTGAAGTCTCCTCGAATTACGCGCGGAACTGCGCGCAAGCGTCAGCCATGATGAATATCGCCGACGATGGAGCGACTCCTCTAACAAAATGCTCACCTGTGCCGTAGTATCGTTTTTGAAGCGGGAAGCTTAAAAAAACGCAAATTTCTTACGCAGATTGTGAAGTTATGAGTGCATTTCAGACTTTGCCGATGCGCTCATCGTGATTTTTGAGGCATTATCTATAAGAAACAACTCTTATTTTTGCTCTAGCAAAAGTTTGCAACAGGCCCATTAAGGGAAAGCCAAATAATTAGCTCATTTTTGCGAGTAGAAGCCGAGATATTCGCAATTGAATCCGGACTATTTTCTATCAAGCCGCAGCATGGCGGAAGAATTCCGAGTCCCCTCTCCTCTCGTTGTTCGGCGTTCTCGATCAGACCTCACGTCACTCACGTGTAGATAGGTGCTTATGCGCTCGGCCGGTGCGAATGACGTACTTCCTCCCTCTCCCTGCATCTGTCAATTCTGTTTCAGCAACTACATTTCAGATAAAACCGGCCGCCGGCGAACATACGGGGATTCAAAGAGGTATACATAAGAGGTGTGAGAAGCAGAGAACTCCATATCTCACAGCCCGAACGGAGCGTCCTACTGAAAGGAGTGAGGGTAAACAATGCGACATCGTAGTTACCCAGTGGGGAGAGGGGGCTTCCTGGCCGAAGAAAGCAAGGTAAGGCGACGCGAAACGCCCATTTACCTGCGCCGCAGGGTATAGTCCGGGTGCAATTGCGAATATCTCGGCTTCTACTCGCAAAAATGAGCTAATTTTTCGGAGGTCCCTTAATTAGGAACATTATATCAATCTATTAAAGTTTCATCGACTTTTAGAGAGAGCCGCTGAACCCATGCTCTGTGTGGGGTTCTTTACTTCAAAATTTTCATAATAATTGCGACATATTTTTTTTTTCTTCCAGAAAAATAGTAAAATTTTAAATACAGCTATTTACTAGATAACTTGGTGATATTGTTTCCCTTATGCAAAGATATTGCAACTACAGCGGAGGTTGAACACACTATTTTTGGATGCAATATTTGCTTCCAAATGTCAACGTCTCTAAGTCAATCTGTACAATTTACAAAAGTCAGCAACATTTTCTTGAAACCTTTTGGGGTCTTATGAACAAAAAAGAGCACGTTGTTGTGCCTGCTGATGCATCACTGTGTAAGCGCTACAGTGCAAATCATGCCTCTAAAATTCCGATGAGTCACATTTTATGTGCCAAACATTTGATTTTCTTGATTTCTTACAGGAAAAAAGGACTTTTCTTATATACAGGGTGATCCAAAAGTCCCTTCCACCCCCTCTAACTTTTTACCTAATAGAGGTAAAGATTTGAAACTTCGAGGATGTTCCTAGGTCAAAGGGAGCTACATTTTGGCCCCCCCTAAAATTTTTAGGGGGGCTCCAACTTTTAATTTTCAAATGGGTAGGCCCCCTTTGTGATAACTCGTTCGAAAGAGCATTAAAAAAGAAAACTTTTCGCGCAAACCCGAAGTCAATATCTCAAACCGTTTCAAAATGGCGACCGGTTAAAGTTCAAAATGGCCGAAAATTCATACCGGTTATTTGTCGATGGATTTGCGCGAAAATCGGTATGTTGAGGTATTTTCACACGAGAAAAACGAATTTGACATTAGATTTTCGAAAAAACCAAAATTTCCAAAATGGCCGCCGGTTAAAGTTTAAAATGACCAAAAATTGATTTTTTTAGAAATCTAAGTTCAAATTTGTTTATCTTCTGCCAAAATACTCTCAAATTCCAAGTTTTAGGCAAATCCATCAGGAAAAAACTGAGGTGAAAATTTTCGGCCATTTTAAACATCAACCGGCGGCCATTTTGGATTTTTTGAAAATCTAACGTCAAACTCGTTTTTCTCGTGAGAAAATACCCCTGCATACCGATTTTCGCGCAAATCCATCGACAAATAACCGGTGTGAATTTTCGGCCATTTTGAACTTTAACCGGCCGCCATTTTGAAACGGTTTGAGATATTGACTTCGGGTTTGCGCGAAAAGTTTTCTTTTTTTATGCTTTTTTGAACGAGCTATCACAAAGGGGGTCTTCCCATTTGAAATTTAAAAGTTGGGGGCCGTTGCCCCCAGAAGGGGGTCCCCCTGAAAATTTTAGGGGGGCCAAAAAGTAGCTCCCTTTGACCTAGGAACATCCCCGAAGCTTCAAATCTGTACCTCAATTAGGTAAAAAGTTAGAGGGGGTGGAGGGGACTTTTGGATCACCCTGTATTAAAGTTTTTCTAATTATCAAAGACACTAGACATTCTGAATAAAATCGCATTTGTGACTAAACAGCTTGAAAAATAACATTTGTTCAGCAATGATCAAAACTAGAGTTACTGTACATAGGAAGAGTAAACACAAATCTGCTCATGGATTCCATAAATGGGAATAAAGATTGCACATTTTGAACATTTTCCATAGTCTTTGGTAAACTTGTTCCCAAATTCCTTTCCTCAGTTTTCTCTCTAATTTCGTTTGTTTCCTGGTGTGCTCCTAAATTCCTGGTCCATTCCAGTTTATAAGCTTTGAACTTGGTGAAAATGTAATCTTCATTTATGTTTATGATGCTGGGGAGGCCTAAAATATGCAAGCCAATTAAAAAACGATTTCCTAAGTCTCAGCTTTCAGTACAAAAAGACTCTTCTCAAAATTTACCTGAACAACTGGAGAGGCTGAATCTTGTGCGAGAGCAAGGAGAATTGATACACTTGTGTTTAAATGTTGAGAGGATCCAAGCCCCCCAACAAATTTATGGAGACAACCTAGAGCTAGAGAATGGCCAGTTCTGGAAACAGCGTCTCGTGCAGATTTCAGTCGATCGAAACTCATTTGAGCAGTCTCAGCTGTGAAGCGTGCATCACTAACAACCTGAGCTAGTCTTCCTAAACATTCTGCAGCGGCACAGCGGAGCATTGGATTATTGCTGGTCAGAGTTGTCTGAAAAAGGACCATTAAAACGGTTGGGTTATAAAGTATTCGCATCTCATCCCTTGAAGTAGAAGTATTGCAAGCACCGTTTGTTTCTAATCTGAGTTATTAATGCTTCCTAGTTTCCTAGATCCTTTCACAAACCAAAATGATACTGTTTGTTCAATTAAAATGATTGAATTTGTAAAGGAAATTACCAAGGTTGAGAAAAACATGACCATAGGCATCATGTCTGGGAAATAATATCATGAGGTCAAGTTTGGCAACAATGGGAAGTGTTCTAATTCCAGAGACAAGAGACCCTCCACTGGCCTCTTGGCGACAGGTGGAAGCTTTTACTTTTGGGGATTCAACAGTTCCTTATGGACAATTATAAGGGAGCAACAGTCATCACCCTAATTTCGGCTGTTGACCTACCTACATGGTCGATGATGAGCTTCGGGTGACGTCATGAGCCAAACAAGTTTCCTAAACTTCGGCCATTTTCGGCTTGTTTGCGAAACGAAACTGCCAACACGTTGTTAAAAATCAACCATGTAGGTAAGTCAACAGTAGAATGCTGAAGTCCCAAAAGTAAAAGCTTCCACCATGGCCAAGATACTAGTGGAGGGTCTCTTGTCTCTGTCTAATTCCCTTTATTGATTTCTTGGTTATGTTCAATATAAAAAATTAAGAACTACTGCACCAAAACAAACTGACTCTCACTAAGCGATGGTAAAAATATTTTTTCTTTTAGTCAATTCACGAAAAATTTCGGTTCCGTTTTGGTTAATTCCCATAGCCTCCATTCATTGTTACATATTTGGCTCGAAAAAACTGGAAAGAGCTTAGATCGAGTCAAAGGATCACTCAAGCCATGACTTACCTTCAAGTTGAGTTGAGTTCGCAGGACTCCATTTGAAATTGGAATACTCGCACTCTCTTTTTGGAGACTGATAGTCTGTCAATTTTTATAACATTTTAACTCTTTGAATAAAACAGCAGGGGTATTGTTCCGTTTTGGAAAATCATGGCTAACTTGCAAATTGCAAAAGATGGACAGAAAATAATAAATACATCAAAATGCTTCGTTCCAATGTCCAAAGAGATATTGAGATACCTAAATTTTGAAGATATCTTCCTTTAGGGGTACAGATGAGTTACAGCTGCTGATGCTGTAAACCATATTTGAGCAAACCAAGTTTTTCTACCTCAATTTCTAAGATGATGGGCGAACATTAATTTCAACAGCATGGATTAATGCTTACCGTGATTAGTGAAAATGCTGCCTTTTTTATATCCTCGTGTCCAATGCCAGATTTTGTTTCTGTGAGGCTTTTGAAACCACTGAGCAGTGCAGCAAAAACGTTCGTTGCAACTGCATCAGATCGACACGATTTGGCTTGTTTGATGCACTCAGAGAAATGATCCAGCATTTGCAGACGATGCTTGTTGGCAACACAAGAAAATATCTTGCCAAATAAAGTAACAGAGGCATCAATCACAGCAACTCCTAAAGGTAGCGGTCCAGGGATATTTTCACCCTTTTGAAAATATAAAAGCAAAAATAAGTTTTAGGGAAAAAAAGAATGTAAAAATATCTAATATGATTCTTCTGTAAAATTTAATGGTCTTTAGTTTTGAAAGTATGCATTTTTTTGTTAGGACACGGTTTTGTTGCAGAAAAAAGCTATTTTCGATCTTAGGGCAGGCTATTCAGTGACGGAAGTTGAAAACTCGATTTTTTTTGTAAAAACGTCGCCGGCGCCAGTTCTAAAAATGCTCCGATCGGTCTGAAACCTTACAGAAATTATTTTTTTTCTGTATTGGCACCTGTTGAAAACCAGGGAGCTGAACTTTTCCCGCACTTTTCTAGCATATAAATATGCCGCATCCTAGTGCCACTGGGGTCTCCTTAGAGTGATTCCTGCATATTCCATTTCAGGATATTGTTTTTTTTATGATACAGTAATTTCTGTTAAAAGCCACAGATCCTATTTGAACAAAGGAATCTTCATGTCCCAGCATTCTTGTATACAAAGTCTTATGTCATGGCAGGGAAAAGATTTTTAAATTTTCAAAAGGCCCTTATTCCGTCTGCTAAAGCTTTCCAATTCTTCATTATTCTGAATATAAAATGTTAATTCAACTGAGGAAAGGAAAGTTATGAAACGTTGTCGTACAAGTTTGACTGAACAGAAAAGGACGTACATTCACTAACGATCGATAGAGGCAACAATGATCGTGTTCCAGAGCTCCAGACCCTGCGGCACTCATTGACTGTAACTGAAAATAGAGAAAAACAGAGAGGAAATTCAAGGATTTGATAAAAAAGATGCAAGTTCATTCTGCCGACTGATTAATGAAATTGATAGACAAAGCAATAGACAAAGAAGACAAAAGCTACATGGAGCGATCCTTTTGGTAGAGGTTAGCGAAAGGAGGTAAGTAACAGACAAATGAACGCCAACTCACAAGAGACCCTAGGGTTAGTCCATCATTTTCCGCCTTTGTCTGCAAAACCATCCGTCTCAACCAATAGGGTCGCTCCATTTTCCCATTGTCTTTGCTTTTCTATCAATTTTAATAATCAGTTTGCAGATTGTACAAGAAAACATTAAAAGATTCACATGAGCTATTTTCCAGTGCTATACTTTATTTCCTAGTTCAAACAAATTTTAAAAAAAATCATGAATGCTAGAAACTCTTTCAGGGTTATGAGAATGTTTAGAATTTAATTATTTGTCAGTCTAAGGGAAGATTTAAAAACATTCCTGGCTTTTTTCATACAGGGTGTCCCAAAAGTCCGTACCCCCCCCCCCCCCCCCCTCGTAACTTTTGAACCATTAAAGATAGAAAAACGAAACCTTGGGAATATTTCTATCTTAGGGGGGACCATCTTCTAGGGGGGTCAACATTTTTGTCCCCCCCCCTTTTTTATCAAATGGTAACCCCTATTTTGTGATAACTCATTTAAAAAAGCATAAAAAACTAAGAATTTTGGCCCAAATCGCAGATCAATATCTTAATTTTTGACCGAGTAATGATAGGTCAAAGGTCAAATTTACCTATTTTCAAAAATCATAACTCCGGTTCCAAATATCTTAAAGAAAAAAATAAAACGGGAAAAACCAAATTGTAAGCACTTTTAAGTAAAAATCACAGAAATTACTTCAAACTAATTTTTAGGGGGGTTTCGGACCCCCCAATAAAGTCATTTTAAAGGTCATAAGATTTTCCCGCGAAGTGAGCCAATTTCCCCTTATTTTGCGTCAACATTATCTTGGTGAGTTCAAAATTAGTTCAACATTGCGTTTTCAAGTCCCCAAATTTCGAACAAAGTTTTAAAAAAACCAAATTTAAATGGTTAAATTGAATCACCTTAAAGGACTACGTGCAAAACGGGCCATTTGGGGCTCGGGGCGGATACCTTTGAGACTTGCCCTATTCATTCACCTAACAATGCCCTATCTTTTCCCAAAGTTTCAAGCTCCCCAAAAATTTTGGGGAGACGCGGCGGGGGGTCAAAGTTAAAAACCGGCAAAATTTTCGCGAATTTATTACTCGAAAACCAAGAAGTTTTGAAAAACGCGGTTTAAACAAGCGTATTCAGCGTGACGAGAGCTTTCAGAAAATGTAGAACATCATAGGGTTTTGTCAACTTCAGCTCGAGTTATCGCCTCCGAAGCGCCGGAACGCTCAAAAAAGACCCCTTATTTTCTCACGTTTGGGCCGATTTCAAAAAAAGCTATTTTTTTATTTTGACGAAAAACTAATATGTTGTTCCTGACTCTCTGTAGCCCCTCTAGCTCTTTACCGCATGCTGGGGAAATGTTTTGGTCGCGAGTTATGAGAGCGGAAAGGAGCGAAGGTCGGGAAAATCGGCTATTTTAAACTGCGCGCGGTGACGGATTAGGAGACATGTGGCAACAATGCGAGGTCGGCAGAGGAGTGTGATTCGCCGAACTGAGTGGGAGGGGACGTTTTCCCTCCGATCAACGCCGCGCGCGCAGTTTAAAATAGCCGATTTTCCCGACCTTCGCTCCTTTCCGCTTTTAAAACTCGCGACCAAAATATTTCCCCAGCATGCGGTAAAGAGCTAGAGGGGCTACAGAGAGTCAGGAACAACATATCAGTTTTTCGTCAAAATAAAAAAATGGCTTTTTTTGAAATCGGCCCAAACGTGAAAAAATAAGGGGTCTTTTTTGAGCGTTCCGGCGCTTCGGAGGCGATAACTCGAGCTGAAGTTGACAAGACCCTATGAAAGCCCTTTCTGACTGAAGACCCCCCTTTCTGAAAGCTCTCGTCACGCTGAATACGCTTGTTTAAACCGCGTTTTCCAAAACTTCTTGGTTTTCGAGTATTAAATTCGCGAAAATTTTGCTGGTTTTTAACTTTGACCCCCCGCCGCGTCTCCCCAAAATTTTTGGGGAGCTTGAAACTTTGGAAAAAGATGGGGCATGGTTAGGTGAATGAATAGGGCAAGTCTCAAAGGTATCCGCCCCGAGCCCCAAATGGCCCGTTTTTCGAGTAGTCCTTTCACTTTTTGAACTTACAGCTATTGAAATTACAGCTATTTTAGAGGCCCACTGAGTGCCGACTGGCCGCTCAGTGGTCCTGTACGGAGCTGTAATTTTAAAAACGTGAATTTTTTGGAAGTATCTGTAATTTCTGAACTCAGCGACCCTTAAGACTCCCTAATAATGCATTTTGCTCAGTTTGAACATTCAATCTGATTTAATAACAGTCAAATCCGACCTTTTTGGGCGCGAAAATCGGTCGGCGCGCGTTGAGCGGAAACTTCAATCGATCATAACTCCGGAACCGTTCGGTTCCCCAGCTTACATGACCACTCGTTGGATGTGGAAAAAGACGTGCTATTTAAAAAACTGGTTTTGGTTCAAATGCAAAATTGTGCTCTTTCAGTTTAGTGTGTTTAAAAGAAATTGTTTTTCCTCAAAAACTGAAAAAAGGACATAAGTTAAGTTAAAAATGTAATTTTGGGATTTTGACCTTTAGAATCTTAAAGTATGCAATTTTAGACGATTTTTCGTCCAAACCGGGCCTCAATATCTTACATCGTTCGAAAGATATCGAGGTTAACAGGTTTTGACTTCCACCCCCCCTAGCACCACCCCCAAAAAAATTTTTTGGGGGTCTGAAAATTTGGGGAAAGAAGCGCTCCAGTATTAGTACCTGATAGACGAAGTTTGAATAAGTTTTTGTGGGGGGGCGAAAAATGTCGTTTTTGCATACGGCTCTTTGGGGACTTGAAAACGCAACGTTGAACTAATTTTGAACTCACCAAGATAATGTTGACGCAAAATAAGGGGAAATTGGCTCATTTCGCGGGAAAATCTTATGACCTTTGAAATGACGTACTTGGGGGGTCCGAAACCCCCCTTAAAATTAGTTTGAAGTAATTTCTGTGATTTTTACTTAAAAGTGCTTACAATTTGGTAAATTTTCCCGTTTTATTTTTTTCTTTAAGATAAGATGTACCAGAGTTATGATTTTTTGAAAATAGGTAAATTTGACCTTAGACCTATCATAACTCGGTCAAAAATTAAGATATTGATCTGCAATTTGCGCCAAAATTCTTGATTTTTTATGCTTTTTTGAATGAGTTATCACAAGATAGGGGTTACTATTTGAAAAAAAAAGGGGGGGGGACAAAAATTTTGACCCCCCTTAGAAGATGGTCCCCTTTAAGATAGAAACATTCCCAAAGTTTCGATTTCTATCTTTAACGGTTCAAAAGTTACGAGGGGGGGTACGTACTTTTGGGACACCCTGTATACGAACGGGTGGCCAAGAAAATTATGAAAATTTGATGGCAGAAAAATCTGAAAGCTGACCATGGTTGTTGTGGAAATGAGGAGTGAACAAGAAATTTTGTTTCCCAATCTTCCAAAATTTGTTTTGATTGGATGTTACATTTTCTTTATTTTCAATATTTTAAATCATTTCTGGAACTGAATTTGCTCCAATTTTAAATCAATCTGCAACAATTCTATAAAAAAAATGATTGGGTCTTTCAAATGAAAAAATACATTCTATCTCCCGTAAAAACTTAATCATGTGATAGAATATGGCTGTGACTGATGCAATTTAGTTCATTTCTGCGTAATTTGGTCCAAGTTATCACCTCAAATTGCCTGAATGACCCTCTCTACTCCGCAAGGTACTTGGAAAAAGGACATGGATTGAAAGAATAGAATGAAACATTTTTGTCTCTTGAATAAAGAAAATAAAAATTGAAACATCAAAAATGTTCATTCTGCCTAACCCTGAAACTCTCATTTCCCATTAGAATGATGCTCTGATACTTGTAAATTAGGGGTTCACGAAGCTTCGCATTTTGCGAAGCGATGCGCGAGGTCGGAAAAAGCGAAAATTTCGCGGTAATTCAAATTATCGCGCTCTTTCGGAATCGATGCCGAATGCCGATGATTGATGGATAATTCTCTGTAACCGGTTCTTTGCGCATGCGCTTGCGGCCGCTCCGCGTTATTTAGCGCCTTTTCTCCTACTCCGGTCCTTACCTCAATTCCATCATAATACAATTTTTTGAAAAGTTTAAATGTTTAAATCGATGGTTTTAAAATTATATTTACCACAATTTCGTAGATATTGCTATGTTTTAAATTAAAATAGATAAAAAAAAATAAAAGGAAAATAAAAAGTGAAAACCGTTTTTATTTTTCATGATTCCGTGATAATTAAAGCAAAACCGATGACAAATTAAAAAAAAAATCTTAGATCTGCTGGCATCTCAATAAAAATGTATTCTTGAAATTTAGGGGAAAAAGGGGGAAAATTTAATGGATGTATTCTTCACGCATTTCCCGGTGTTCAATTAAATTTATCACCGCCGGACGCTGAGTCGCGACTCGCTGGAGTGACCGCCGGGAAATTTCGCGGGTTGCATCCAGCGTATTTGAAGGGGTTTTTTAGTCCGCTTCGCTTTGAAAAACGCCGCTTCGCGGACCCCTATTGTAAATGTTATCTGCAAGGTTTCCGTGGATAAGGGGAATCTACTATACCATTTTCCACGAATTTTAACAAGATTTTGAACTCTGTTCTAGTCACAGAGACCTATATATTATATGTTTTTTAATTATTTTCTCTTAATTTCATCAGAAAAATTTTAAAAAGTTCAGGAGTTGCTTTGGACTAAATTTTGCAATAAGAAATTACAATTATAGAAAGGTTGGTGGGGTGAAGGGTGACTAAGAAATCTTACAGGTGAGCCAGAAACAGTAGTTCCTGCAGGCTGATTATTGAAATTGATAGACAAAGCGATAGATATAGAGGAAGTGAAGCCACCTATTTGGCAGAGGCAGGTAATTGCAATGAGCAAAGGAGGATAGTAATAGACTGACTTCGGCAATCCAAGAGTGGCTCTGCAGTAAGTCAATCATTTTACTTCTTAGTCTATACAACCACCCTTGTGAACCGAGAGGATCTCTCCATTTTTCAATTATCCATATATTTTTCTAAAAATATCACTAATCAGCCTGCAAATAACAAAACATAGTTCAATTAAAGCACTAACCTACTATCTAATAACCCTAAATAAAATACTGCCACTCCTTTAACATTTTCCTGAAACTTCTGATGAGTTCATGTTTCCTACAAGCTAACAAAATACCTGACATACCTGACACTCAATCGAACGATGATCAGAGTCTTGTAGCCAGGATCCAAGGATTACAGAATCTTCGGCATGACATGTAATAGGGAGGAGAGAGGTTGTTGTATTTGCTGGATTTTCACTTAGCGTCAATTCAGCTACAAGCAGCCGAAGTAAATGAGTATAAGATCCTAAAAAAATCAAAAGGAAATTGAAACAATCTTGGACAAGAAATAAATGAGACGGGAGAAGAAGAAGAGTCAACGATAAATTCAAGGTACTAATGATTAAATACACTGAAGGTCTTTCAAAAAGAGTTGCGACTCTCTGCCGCAAAGAACATAATATATTTAAAAAAAAGTTTACCAAATTGTTCAGGTTCATACAAAGCAACCCAAACATCAAATCCTTTGCTACAGATTTTGCTATGGGTAAAGTTTGTTTTTACATTTCTCTCATACATATTCTTAAAGGCAAGGAGGGCACTACCTACTGTGCTTTGGATGAATATAAGAAAAATAAAAAGAAATGGTAATATTTAATCATACTTTTGGAGTAACTCTGATGAAAACAACTCCAATGAGACGAAGTGCGCGAAGAAACAAATGTGAAAATACATCTTTAGGAAAGTACGTACTGACATGCTTCACCAGTTTTTCTCGCTTTATTATTTGGACTTACGTTTTTCTGGTTTGTAATGTTACGATTTTTTTACTTAAGTTTTACATCTTGATACATTTGAAGATGGTTAGGGTCGTTGGCTGAAACATTCCAGATTTTTTTTTTCAATGTTTTACTCTTGTTCCTCACTTTCATGGTTCGCTTTATTCACGATTACTATTACTAAGATATGATATGCAGGGTTTTCCTTTTTAGGGGGNGGGGGGGGGGGGAGGGTAGAGTGGGACTTATTTTTTTAAATCGACAAAACCAAATGTTGCACGGTCTTAAATGATTCTATGGGATAAAAAAACACAGTAGCCAAGAGGATTTTGAGAAAAAAAATGTTTAACCCGGCGCGCACAGAGCCTAAACATCGAGATTTTTATGGTTTTTTTGGCATTTTCGCCGTATATTTTTGATATTTTTGCCAGCAACACGGATTTGACGCTAGATGTCCAAAAATTGGTAAAAACCTAGCGCATACCTTGTAGATTAAGGGAAAATTTTTGTTTTTCTCCTATGTCACTTTCACTTCGCTTGGCACGGTGCGTTTTAAACAATTTTAATGCGGTCAACATACCACCCGCGATTTTTTTGCGGAAATGTCAACTAGAAGGCCTACTGATTGAGGAACAACAAACCGCGAAATCTGTGATGGGGCCGTTTTTGAGAAAATGCGATTTTTCGCTTTTTTGGCGGGAATTTCGGGTCAAGGCGCTGAAAAAGTCAAGTTAGGCTGTTTTTGTAGTTCGTAAATGCATATCCTATACATTTTGAGTCAATCAAGTGCCAGTAGATAGCTATTCGTGCATATTGCCCAAAATTCATATCCTTAAATCCACGACTTTTGGGTTTTTGGGGGGTTAGTCAAGGAGAAATCCGAAAAAAATAGGGTTAACATGGAACAAATTGCTTAACAAACTTTTCCTACGTAAACTTCTTCAGTAGGTCCTATTGAACAACATACCAAAAGTTTACCACGGTTCGCTCCCGGAACACACCCCCAAATTGCCTAAATTTCAAAATGGCGGCCATAATAAGGCCTCTGGGAGTTCGATTTTTTTAAAAATACGCATACAGTGTCATGTGAGGTGTCAATTCCTATGTAATTTTGGTCGTAGATTTCAAATATGAAGTCAAAAAAGTCCCTTGATCAAAAGGGGGTACCCCAAATCCAAGATGGCAGCCAATTTTGAAAGTCAAGAGGGTGGATTTTTAAAAAGTTCGCGTGATAAGGCAAGTGAGGTATCATTTCTTATGTAATTTTGGTCGTAGATTTCATTTATGAAGTCATAAAAGCCCTCAAGTCAAAGGGATTGCTCCAAATGCCAAGATGGCGGCCAGCTTTGAAAGGCAGGAGGGTGAATTTTTGAAATGTTTACGTGACATCCCTAGTAAATAGAATCAACCTGACGTTTCATAAACTACCCTGAGTCAGACTAATTCAGGCTGATATCAATCTGACTCAGGGTAGTTTATGAAACATACCCTGACGTCAGGTTGATTCTATTTACTAGGGATTTCACGTACCTAAACATTTCAAAAATTCACCCTCCTGCCTTTCAAAGCTGGCCGCCATCTTGGCATTTGGAGCAATCCCTTTGACTTGAGGGCTTTTATGACTTCATAAATGAAATCTACGACCAAAATTACATAAGAAATGATACCTCACTTGCCTTATCACGCGAACTTTTTAAAAATCCACCCTCTTGACTTTCAAAATTGGCTGCCATCTTGGATTTGGGGTACCCCCTTTTGATCAAGGGACTTTTTTGACTTCATATTTGAAATCTACGACCAAAATTACATAGGAATTGACACCTCACATGACACTGTATGCGTATTTTTAAAAAAATCGAACTCCCAGAGGCCTTATTATGGCCGCCATTTTGAAATTTAGGCAATTTGGGGGTGTGTTCCGGGAGCGAACCGTGGTAAACTTTTGGTATGTTGTTCAATAGGACCTACTGAAGAAGTTTACGTAGGAAAAGTTTGTTAAGCAATTTGTTCCATGTTAACCCTATTTTTTTCGGATTTCTCCTTGACTAACCCCCCAAAAACCCAAAAGTCGTGGATTTAAGGATATGAATTTTGGGCAATATGCACGAATAGCTATCTACTGGCACTTGATTGACTCAAAATGTATAGGATATGCATTTACGAACTACAAAAACAGCCTAACTTGACTTTTTCAGCGCCTTGACCCGAAATTCCCGCCAAAAAAGCGAAAAATCGCATTTTCTCAAAAACGGCCCCATCACAGATTTCGCGGTTTGTTGTTCCTCAATCAGTAGGCCTTCTAGTTGACATTTCCGCAAAAAAATCGCGGGTGGTATGTTGACCGCATTAAAATTGTTTAAAACGCACCGTGTTGGTAATGCCGAAACGCTCTGCTTGGCAGCTCTAAAAATCGAAATTTCGCCGTTTTTCAACGTATAATGAACTTTTTGAGCAACCTATAATGGGAGTAAAAATACGAAAATTTGTGGAAAGCAAGTCCATACCATCAGTATGGAAGGGCAAATGTCAAAAAACTCCTAGGTCTTTCATTTTCTGCCAACCTATACCCACAATGGTGGAAAACCCGTCAAAAATAGCTCAATTTTGACCGTTTTTTCGCGTTCGAAAAAGAGCTTGATGCAAAAACGGCTTTTTTCGCCCCCCCCCCTAGAAGTTCTTCAGACTTTGTCCATTGATTACTCATATTTGAGCGCTTCTTTTCCCAAATTTTCAGACCCCCAAAAAATTTTGGGGCGGAGCTAGGGGGGGTGGAAGTCAAAACCTGTGAACCTCGATATCTCTTGAACAAAGAAAGATATCGAGGTCCGGTTTGGACGAAAAATCGTCTAAAATTGCATACTTTAAGATTCTAAAGGTCAAAATCCCGATATCACATTTTTAAGTCAACATATGTGCTTTTTTCCAGTTTTTAGGTCTAGAAAATTTCTTTTAAACGAAAAATTTACAAAGATCTCAATTTTTTATTTGAACCAAAACCAGTTTTTTAAATTGTTCGTCTTTTTTCGCATCCAACGAGTGGTCCATTAAGCTGGGGAACCAAACGGTTCCGGAGTTATGATCGATTGAAGTTTCCGCTCAACGCGCGTCAACAGATTTTCGCGCGCAAAAAAGTCGGATTTGACTGTTATTAGATCAGATTTTATGTCGAAACTGAGCAAAATGCACTATTAGGGACTCTTGAGGGTCGCTGAGTTCAGAAATTACAGATACTTCAAAAAACTTCACGTTTTTAAAATTACAGCTCCGTAGCGCTATTTTAGAGGCCCACTGAGCGCCGATCGGCCGCTCAGTGGTCCTGTACGGAGCTGTAATTTTAAAAACGTGAATTTTTGGGAAGTATCTGTAATTTCTGAACTCAGCGACCCTCAAGAGTCCCTAATAATGCATTTTGCTCAGTTTGGACATAAAATCTAATCTAATAACAGTCAAATCCGATTTTAAATCGGTCAGCGCGCGTTGAGTGGAAACTTCAATCGATCATAACTCCGGAACCGTTTGGTTCCCCAGCTTAATGGACCAATCGTTGGATGCGGAAAAAGACGAATAATTTCAAGAATTGGTTTTGGTTCAAATAAAAAATTGAGATCTTTGTAATTTTCTCGTTTAAAAGAAATTTTCTAGACCTAAAAACTGGAAAAAAGCACATATGTCGACTTAAAAATGTGATATTGGGATTTCGACCTTTAAAATCTTAAAGTATGCAATTTTAGACGATTTTTCGTCCAAACCGGACCTCGATACCTTTTTTCGTTCGAGAGATATCGAGGTTCACAGGTTTTGACTTCCACCCCCCCTAGCTCCGCCCCAAAATTTTTTGGGGGTCTGAAAATTTGGGAAAAGAAGCGCTCAAATATGAGTAATCAATGGACAAAGTCTGAAGAACTTCTAGGGGGGGGGGCGCGAAAAAAGCCGTTTTTGCATCAAGCTCTTTATTGGACGCCTTGTAATGACAATGAAGGTCCAAAAATTTGTGGAAAGTAAGTTCATACCGTTTGTATGGAATAAAAAATTTTACTCGGTTCCTACGTTTTACATTCTTCGTCCTGCGATACTCGAAATGGCAGCAAAAACGTAAAAAATACTTCAAATTTATGTATAAAATAAAATACCCTCTAAGACTTTTAAGACTTTAGGGCGTCTAGCGACAACAATTAAAAATGTAAGGGTCTTAGAAAAATTGCCGTTCCTTAGTGAAGTACAACATATATTTGCTTGCACTTATAAGAGTCGCCGATGTCATAACAGGGGCGAAAAAAATTTCTCACACGAAAAATTGGCCAAATTCAGGTATACTTGACGTTCCCGATACGATTGCGAGCACCGCACAACGAGGAATGCATAACATAGGAACGAAGCAGAATTTTTTATTGCATGAAGATGGAATGAACTTACTTTCAGCAAAGTTTTCGACCTCCACTGTCACTACAGAGTGTCTATTAAATTTTGATAGCGAAAGACCGGTCAAAATAGAGGTATTTTTCACTTATTTGTGTATCCAAAGGACCCG